CCCTGAGGAACACCGCTCATCACTGTTCTCCCGTGGGACATCAAGCCATTGACCGCAACTCTCTGAGTGCGACCATCCAGCCAATTCCTTATCCACCGAGTAGTCCATCCATCGAATCCATGTCTCTCCAATTTAGAGACAAGGATGTCGTGCGGGACAGTGTCAAATGCACAAGTCCAGGTAGATGCCGTCAGTTGCTCTTCCCTTATCCACCAACGCTGTAACCCCATCACAGAAGGCCCCTAAATTTGTCAGGCATGATTTGCCCTTAGTGAAGTTGTGTTGGCTGTCACCAATCACCTCCTTACTTTCCATGTGCCTGAGCATAGTTTCCAGGAGGATCTGCTCCCTGATCTTGCCAGGCACAGAGGTGAGACTGACTGGTCTGTAAGTCCCCAGGTCTTCCTTTTTTCCCTTTTTAAAAATGGGGGGTTATGTTTCCCCTTTTTCAGCCAGTGGGAACTTCACCGGACTGCCACGACTTCTCAAATATGATGGGTAGTGGCTTAGCAACTTCATCCACCACTTCCTTCAGGACTCGTGGATGCATCTCATCAGGTCCCACAGACTTGTGCACCCTGAGGTTCCTTAGATGGTTTGAAACCTGATCTTCTCCTATGATGGGCTGTTCTTCATTCTCCCAGTCCTTGCCTTTGCCTTCTGCAACTTGGGTGGTGTGGCTACAGCCCTTGTCAGTGAAGACTGAGGCAAAAAAGTTGTTGAGTACCTCAGCCTCCTCCATATCCTGGGTAACTAGATCTCCCATTTCCTTCCAGAGAGGGTCCACATTTCCCCTAGTCTTCCTTTTATCACTGACATACCTATAGAAGCTTTTCTTGTTGTCCTTGACATCCCTGGCCAGATTTAATTCTATCAGGGATTTAGCTTTGCTAACCTGATCCCTGGCTGCTCAGACAATTTCTCTGTATTCCTCCCAGAGGTGTTAATCGTTTTTACTTCCCCTACACTCTTAGTCCTCTTGTCTCAATTCCTTCCTACCCTTTTCAAGTGTTGCAGGCGGTCTTCTTGTCATAAAAATAACTAGAATGGATGTTCTGAATTTTTGTTTCTGCATGACTGCTGCCCACACTTAGTAGTGCAAACTGTTCTAGAGAGGGTGACTATTTCTGTTTTTTTGTTTAAAACAGGGTACAGGAGACACGCTCCTTTTCCAAGTCACATATGACTTGGTTTCACCAACTGAGAAGGGTGTTAGGATTTTCCCTGCTTCCTGCTCACAAGTGGCAAGCCCAACTTGTTCCCTACATTGTGGCACAAATTCCAGTGCAAATCCAGGCCAAAAGAGCATCCTGTGGGTCTACTTGGTCATCAGTTTCAAATGATTATCTCTTCACAAAGGACAGAAAGGCAAGCAGACCTCTTCCAGCAGCTGATTGAGCATTAATAAATTTCTCTGGCTCCCTCTGGCTCCTGAACCTGCAGTTTTAGACACCAGCAGTTGAAACTACAGCCTGAAATACCAGTTGTATTGAAAACAATAGATGACTCTAAATATGTCTATAACATTACGCCAGGTAGTACCTCTCCAAAGCCAATTCACCTCTGAACCTTCTAGGAAGGCCACACGTGGCACTGGAACACACAGTCTAGAGCCCCGAAGCACTGCATACATAAGCACTGCCAAGCCTCCCAGGCACACTGCTGGTCCTCTGTAGGTTCTAAAAACACACTCACAGAGGGGGAAGGTGAGCAGGATGCAGAGTACCTTATGCCTCTGGCCACTACTATGATCGGCTCTTTCAGAGGGGTACAAAGTGACAGATCAAAGAGATGACTTCTGTAAGAAAGACCATGCAATTGTTTTGGAAAAGCTCAGAAAAAGAACAGACTGACAGTGTACAGAGTAGGGCCAGGAGTAAAACTTCACAAAAAAAGAAATGGCTCTGTATAGACTTGCACAAAGTAAGTAATTTTGAACTTATCTGTACAGTATCACATACTGCATAGCAAAAATACTGACAGACTTCTCATTTTGAGACACTTTTCAATGTAGCAATTGCCAGGATTGGTAATCCTTTCCTTCCTCTCTGCCCGCCCAAACCCCAAATCCATCTCCTGTGTTATTCATACATAATGAAAAGAAAGAGGTCATAAACCTTAATGACATTAAGTGTAATCAAGACAATTCACCAAGTAACATGATACTGGAAGTAGTTTTACGATGTTACCGGGGGAAAAGAGGGTGATGAAACAGGACAGTTAGTTACACTTTCTGAATATGTAGTAAAAATACTGAAGTAAAGCTGAAGTGAAAGCCAAGTGAAACTGAAAAAAATCCGAATTTGAATGTCAGTGGGGATATATATTTTCTCACTCTTAAAAGTCTGAGCCTTTTTCCCCTTGAAAATATTGATAGAAGAGTCATAAATTCTTCAGAATCTCTTCAAAATTTCACAATATTTAATAATTGCACAATAACTTGTTCACCTCTTGCAGTGAAGGCTGAGGGGAAGTCCAAGAAATTCACTGTGGTAGAAGTCTTTAGTCAGCAGAAAGTGCTTTGAAGAAAGCAGTAGGAACTGGAAGGAAATTTCCAGCACCTGCAGTTTTTGGCTACTGGTGGGTAAAAGAAAGTAACGTTTTGGGGTATGCTGAAACATTCGAGGTGAGAGCTGATCTCACAGTAATTTTTTAAGAGATCTACAACCACTTGCTCATTAACAGCTATGAACAAAGCAGAACAGCAGTATTAATTTCCGTGCAGAAACTGATACACTCGTGTGTCATGGCTGCATCCCAACCCATCATTTTGAGTCCAAGATTTTGCAGAAAGAAGGCTCTCTGCTACATATGAGGAACAGTTTCAAGGTGCTTTGCCCCATGCCTAAATCTGTCGATTTTCTCTTCCTGTCTTTAACACTACTGAGTATGAGCTTTAACCTCATTTAGCTTCCAGAAAGCCTCCAAATTCATTGTTTCTTCTAATAATTCAACTCCTCATATTGTTTGCAAGACAGTTAAATTAAAAAAAAGTTTTCAGGTCAAAGTCTGGGTGTTGTAATCTATTTCTAGATATAAGTATTCAGGTTTGCATCTGTTTTCAGAAAACTGCATGGGAAACAAATTGAGTTTATGACGTGTTTCCACACAGGTAGGTACCACACACAAGAGGACTTCATTCTGCATGTTTACCACAAACCCACCGAAGCTGCTGGTCTGTTTGGAGGTCAGTTAACTCATCAATGGATCTCCAGCTGCACTGACAAGCATACGCTCGTGCTCCTTTCTTCTTTATCATCTTTGCTCTTAGTTTACTGATCTCAGGCATATTATTCCTGTCAATCAAGTGAATACAGTTTAGGATCATGCTTTTTTTTTTTTTTAAAGAGAAAAGATTCATGAGTCCATTTAAATTTAAAAGCTTTTAAGAACATTTCTGAGTACCACTGTCATGAATGAATTTAGGCTTATGTTTACATTCTGTTTTGAACACAATCCTTTCCTGAGAGCTGTCTCGGTGCGTAGTTGCCATATTCTCAGATCAACTGGAGACTAATGTTTTTTATAAGCAATGTTCTCTGTCAGGTTTAGAGACTGTGCCAGCCTCGGGAGAGAAAGACTCGGGAAGAAAACCAGATAAAGTTAATGCTCATCTTAAGAAATTAGCTAAAAATGTATTTATCTTATCAAACTTGCTGTGAAAATCCCTATACAGAATGGGTACAATGACAGAGTTAAACTTCTCATCAGGAACTGTTACTCAGGATGGTAAAGTGACTGAAATGAAATGGCCATAAGAGGGAAGAATGTACATCAAACCACAAATAATTCCTGTGCAAGCATCAACCACAACAAATGAAAAATCAGCATGGCTATTACAAAAACAAGTTGTTTCAAAAAACGAGTGAAAATTTACCATTTTAACTACCCCTGCTCTTATGACCTCCTCCCAGCCATCAATTACCGGCCACTGAATTGCTCAAAAACAACATCAACAAGCCCAGCTAAATAAAGAAAACTGAAAACAAACATCAAAGGACAAATTTTTAAGAAAAGAGGTCAGACATCTATTCATGGAAGGCAAATATTTAATTTTCAAGTTTGCTTTTTAAAATTCAGGTTAGCCAAAATAATTAGCTAAATATCTTGCTAAAGATTACAGATTTTAATCAATGTTACAACTATCTGATATTAATGCCTTTCATGGTTTGGGTTTTTTTTTTTAATTTTATAAATTTCAAGACCTCAGAAGCAGAAATCTCAGAAGCAGAATAATTTAGACTTTGAGTAAATAAAAGGATCATATTTTTATTTAACCTTTCCAGCTACTGAACTCATCTCAGGAGACTAGTCCAGCACTGTATTTTTAAAGCTGCTTTAAAATTCTCCTTGCTTGCATCCAAAGAGAAATACAGATTTCAAAACTGGAAAGAAAATACAGGAAAAACCTAACATGTAATACAAGAAAAATAATGGAAAAGGAGATGATGTATCCATTACTGTTCTACTCCAGCTCTCACACCCTCTGGTGGCCAAGCACACACTCTGAGCACATCCACTACCTCCATCAGTTAACGGGCACATACAAAGACTTTACTAAAATAAGAGGAATCCAAATTTGATGTCTGTATCAGAAGCATGCTTACTACACTACCCTTCACTAAGTCTTGGCATTATATATACTTTTAGAAAAACTGGAAATAAGAACTCCTTAATTTTAAGTCCTCAAAAAAATTTATATAATAAAGTCAAAGACATCACCATGTAACAAGAAAACAAAAGTGCCACCCCTCCATTTAATTAAACCTCGCTTCAAAAATAAGTCTGTTAAGAAATCAAACTATTTGATTTTCACTGAAAATGACAGCATAGTACTTGATACTGGAAAAAAGAAAATCTGACTTGAAACAGTTACAGTCTGTATGACTGAAAGTATGGTGAGAAGTACATGCTGAACAGTCTGCATTCATTTTGTAGGCATCCTGCAATGGCACACCAGAGGCCAACCCATTACATGGATTATCTGCTTAATTCAGCAGTAAAGTTGCTTTTTGATCCATGAAGCTTGAATTCTTTCTAAAAACAGAGAGGGAGAGTGATGGGGAGAAGAAATGGAAAGGCATGAAAACAGATTATGGGAGATGTTGCACCCCTCTCCCTGCAGACTTTCCCACCTGATCACCAAACAGGTTGCACACATGCTCCTTTTTAGGTAATAGGAGTGCTCAGGACTTTTCATCTTTCCCGTTCCTATCAAGCCCCAAAGCATAGTAACACAATACTAATACCAAACCCACCTCAGACATACCTGAAAAAAAGGTAATCACAGGATTGATCCCAGATGTAGTCATTGAAAAGCGACACACGGAAGTCGCAACCAGTACAACGTAGTTGATCACACGTTCTGCTCAAAAAAGAACAGAAAACTCCAAGATCTTATTACAATCAGAGAAGCTACACGGATCATAACTGTTTTAGAGTACAGCACTCAGAAATACTGAAGCAAGGTTACACTGTAATCTTAATTTTTTTACATCTCTGGTACATTCATTACGGTATGTGTTTTAAATATATGATTGTGTATTTTTACAGGTTCTTAATCTCACTGAGCACATAAAATAAACTGATACCCTCTCGATCTATTCTCTTTGGTCCTCCTCACTGGTATGGCATCACCTGACCAGCATCCAAATATGCATCAAGTGCTTAATCACACACTACAAAAAAATCCCACATGGAAATGCAATAATCTTCTGCAGGATGTTGGGAGTACCTCTCCTACTAAGTTCAGCTGCAGTTGCAAAGCACTCTGGCTGTTTTCAGTTCAGGCTTGGGGGTGATTTAAAGCAGCCCACTGATTTAAGTGACATACTCAGCATCACGTAGAAAGCGAAGAGAGGCAGGGAAAAAACTAACATTCTACAGCAGTAATTTCCTTAACTACACGTTATTGATTTTTGGACTCTTGTGTCTCATTTGCACACATCTTTCAACTCTTCAAATGAATAAAAGATCTAGTGGTCAACAACAGAGGACTGGAAGGGATGGGCCGACTTCAACTGCACTTACAGGCAGCCACATGTTTAGATGAATATAAGGCCGTCCTGTTCAGTTCAAACGCAAAATTCTGTACCACTGCAGAAACACAGTTGTGAATAAAGTAATGATAAAACAAGTAGAACTCTTTTTTTTTGCATGTTTCCTACCTTTTTGAAATATTTGTTCCTATGCCATATGGTGAAGAGCTTCCACCCAGGTACACTGGACAGCATCTATACGGATTTCATTTAAAAATATTAAATTATAGCAAAATATTTTGGAGAAAGTAGCACAATGCTTCTAGTTTAAGAGCGTGGTATTTCTAAAATAATATTTATTAAATATAAGCAAAGCTTCCAAATGCTTCCAAACTATAGAATTTGAAAATTTCCATTACCAAGGTGTTCAAATAAAAACTCTAGGACAACCACTTTCTACACCAAATATATATGGGACTATATATTGCAGCATTTGATAAATGTATAAGTCCATAAGGCAAAAGAAGGTGTTGTCCAATAACTTAATTAATAAATTTATAATAAAGAATTTTGACCACATGAAAGCACATTAGTAATTCTTCAAAATTATCTGTTTATCTTTGCTTTTCTTTAACAAGAATGCTTCTCTAAATACTCAGTTTCTTACTTAGTTAATGACAACACAGATTAAACAGTAGCAATATTATTAGACTGACAACAAGCTATAATCAAGCTATGTTCAACTAGCCAAAACATTTTTCACTTACCTTTTCCTATGAGCCTGTACAACAGCACTATTACTTTCAGGTGTGAGACTTACAGAGTTGGACTTCAATTTCTATTTAAAAAAAAAATCAATGAATAAAAGGCAGCATTACAGCAAGGTAACAATATTCTGTTTTACTTAATAGGCAAGAGCCAGAAAATCTTAGTCACAGCAGAAGGGGACTAAGAATTTGGGAATTTTCTTGCTCAGGTTTCTGTGAGGCTCTTTGAGACAAAAGCTGCTGAATTAACAGTTAAATGAGGAACAAGACTTCTCTTCCTGTACTGAATTCCCAGCTCTGCCTGAAGGAATTCAACACCACATGATCCCTTTGACTTTACAATCAAGACTTAGTATTTCATGCCCTCTTTTTAATAATTATGCTTTTAAAACCAGTTTTAGTTTAGGAACCTTTTCCCTTAGTGTTTTTGAGGTTTTGTTTTACTGAAAACACAAGGACTTGTATTATTCAAAAAGATAAAGTGTCTTTGGAAAGTTTGTTATTTGCTGTACATAAAATGGGTTATTTGAATTCTAGAGTACTAGAATTCTAGATCCTAAATGGGAACTCCTAGGGATACAAAATGATAAAATTATACAAATTTGCTGACATAATTCTCTCTCACTCAGACATACATATACAAATGTTTTTTGTTGGTTCAAATTTAGCCACTCTGTAAGAAACCAAAGACAAACAAAGCAAACCCAACGTCACTCATGAAAATAAGAGAATCTGCACAGGAGGTTATGAAATATAAATAACACAATTTTCTACTGATGATACCTAAAAGAATACCTATTTTCAATGTCTTCTATCACTCTGACTGTCTTGACAATGTAAATTCGTGGCTTTGTCTCCATCTCCTGCTGTCCAATGACAGTCGTCATTTGCAGATGATACGAAACAGGGAGCAGCGGCTGCTATGCCAGATGACTGCGCTGCCATTCAGAAGGACTTCAACAGACTGCAGAAATGGGCTGAGAGGAATCTCCTGAAGTTAAACTGAGGCAAAATGCAAACTCCTGCCCCTGGGGAGGAATATCCCTCATGCACCAGAACACACTGAAGACTGACCAGCTGGAAAGCAGCTTTGCAGAGAAGGCCATGGGAAATTTGGTTGATGATAAGTTGACCATGAGCCAGCAGTATGCCTGCTGAATCATTCACAGAATCATTTCGGTTGGAAGGGACCTCTTGAGATCATCTAGGCCACCCCCCCTGCTCAAAGCATGGTCAGCTTCAGCAGCTTGCCCAGGACTGTGCCCAGCTGGGTTTTGAAAATCTCCACAGACACTCTACAACGTCTCTGGGAAGCCTGTCCCAGTGTTTGACCACCCTCACAGTAAAAAAGTATTTTCTTGTGTACAGATGGAATTTCATGTTTCAGTTTGTGCCCACTGCCTCTTGTCCTGTCACTAGGCACTACAGAAGACAGTCTGGCCCCTTTACTCCTCCCATCAGGTGTTTCACACTTTAGTAAGATCCCCCTCTGAGCCTTCTCTTCTCCAGACTGAACAGACCCAGCTCTCTCAGCCTTTCCTCATATGAAAGATACTCCAGTCTTTTAATTATCTCCATGGCCCTTTGCTAGAGTCTCTCCAGTAGCTCCATCTCTCTCTTGTACTGGGGAGCCCAGAAGTGGACACAATACTCCAGATATGGCCTCACAGAAATGTCTGGAGTGCTGTGCCCAGTACAAAAGAGACATGGACATAATGGTGACTAAGAACTTAGCCCATCTGACATACAGGTAGAGGCTAAGAGAGCTGGAATTGTTTAGTCTGGAGAAGACAAATGTCAGGTGAATCTTATCAATGTATAAAAATATATTATGGGGAAGAGTAAAGAAGACATAGCCAGAGTCTTCTCAGTGGGGCCCACTGACAAGAGGAGAGGCAAGGGGCACAAATTGAAAAACAAGAAATTCCAGTTAAACATATGAAAAAACTTCTTGTGAGGGTAGCCAAACACTGGAATAGGTTACTTAAAGAGGCTGTAGAGTCTCCATCCTTGGATGTGCATGGATATTCAAAAGCCATCTGTACATAGTCCTGAGCAACCAGCTCTAGGTAGCCCTGCTTGAGCAGGTGGTTGGACCAGATGACTTCCAGAGGTTGCTCTTCCAACCTCAACCATTCCGTGATTCTATGATATTTGACACTATGCTCTATCTTGAACTAGCATTTCCTTCAATTGCCTGATACTGTCTGGGCAAGACCATCTCTTTATATCTCTCCTGTTCCTCACTATAAGATTGTCGCATGTTCCTTTCTGTTTTATATTCCAAGTTTATCCTACAGCTTGTTTTAGTTCATTTTTTTGCTTTAAGACAGTTTTAGTTTATGATGCTTTTCTTCCCATCACAGAGCCTCATCCATTCTGCATTTCTCAAGACTCCTACTCACCAGAGGTGTTTTGGCAAAGCCGCTGTCATTACAGATTTCATCAATAATGTCATTTATATCTTCTTCACTGCTGCTAGCACTCATTAACAGTTTAGCTGATCTAAAAAACAAACAAATCAGCCTTCATTTTGTAGCACGACCAGAGCAGTTGTAAGAAGTGTAAGTTAAAATATAAAATTAGTTACAGCCTTTTTCCTGTAATATTTCTGCAATATCTAAGGTAGGCCACCCAAATCATGACTGGACAGATGCAAACTGCAGGATGACGCCTTTCAGTCCCTGTTGAACTGTCCTATCACAGTTCTTATTTTTTGCTTGCTTCTTACCCATGCTGCACTTACAGAGCAACAAATTGGGCAGCCCTATTTTTCACATTAATCTTTGG